GAGGTTGTTAACCGTTCACGCAACTGCTTGAATGCTGCGCCACACTGTTGAGTACACTGGAATTTGGATTTTAACTCAGTTAAACGTTGCAGTGGCTCAGCAATAGTAGCAAAGTTGGGACATAATTTCCGATAATACGACGCAAGATCAAGGAAACTGCGCAGTTCACTCACGTTCTGGGGTGTCTTCCACAAAGCCACCTTCTCAGTGTTGGCTGGATCAGGTCTCACCCCACTGGCCGACACTTCATGTCCCAGGAATACTACACTTGCTTGAAAAAGTTGACATTTACTAGGCTTCAATTTCAAGTTTGCGGCTCTAAGTTTGGTGAGGACCTCACGCAACAGTGCCAAATGATGCTCAAAAGTAGTAGAAAAGAGACAAATATCATCAATATATATATATATATATCTTATTAACCAAGCGCGAGGGCTGTACTGGGAGAATATCGGCCTGAGGTCCGTACAAGAAAGACCGACGGCCGAGATTCTTCCAGTACGGTCCCGAGCAAGCTTGGTTAATAAGAGATTTATTATACGACTGAAGTTCAAAGGGACACAAGTGCGGTATCATTCGGGACCATTCGGGACCATTCGGGACAGTGTCTAGTCCAATGCTTAGAGAACATTGGACCGGCAATAGAACATTTTGATTGGTTGATTTTAGTTTGGCCCTCTGACTGCCCAACTCGTGTAATAAACACAAGTACATGCTGCCAGTCCACTCCATTTAAAAGTAATTCTATCAAACCCTGGAACGTTGGAGGCGCATTCTTCAATCCCATAGCCATGACTTTATATTGCAGTCTTTTTTCAATCTTGTGGTTCGATTTCCTCTTGCCAATACCCTGAAGATAAATCCAAGCAACTGAAGAACGTAGATCCTGACAACTGATCTATTGCAGCATCCACCCGGGGCAAAGGAGGGGCATCTGTAACAGTTATAGAGTTCAGACCGCGAACATCTGTTCAGAACCTCAACGAACCATCTCTCTTACGGGCCCTAACAATTGGCGCACGCCATGGACTTATGGTAGGTTCAATTAAATCATCTTCCGCTATTTCCTTAAAGTGCTCCTCCGCAGCCTGCAGGTACGACTGGGGTAGTCTGTAGGGTGTCTTCTTAATAGGAGCGGCCCCGTCAGTGTTTATGGAATGAGTTAGCAAACTGGTCCTGCCATAATCCCTACTATATACATCACTGAACTCCGAGAGTAATTCTTGAACTTGAGCCACCTGCTCCGTTGTTAACTCTGATTCGGACAAATCAATATCCGGCAACTTCCGATTACTTGCTTCACCAGGAAGTACAGTAATCTCAACCTCCATAAATTTCGGCTCCACTTGTAACTCTTCGGTAGCTTCTGCAATGGTCTTTGTAAGAAACCTTGCTTGTTCCTTCTCCAGAACTAGTTTACCCAGTTGCTCTAAAGTAAGTGTATCCCTACGAGCGATCACTTTTGCAGTGAGCTTTGCGTCAGAAACATTTAACGCAAAAGCGTCAATAACATGCCTGCCAATTTCTTCAGCACTCGCACCTGGAAAGGCTTTGTTTGCTTTTGCCACAAGTCCAACAAAATATTCGTTGGCTGTCTTTACGCTTAAACTGCCGAAACTTATGTAAATGTTCTAGCACTGATTCTGGATCGTCGAACGTTTCCTCGAGTGACTTCCAAAATAACATCAAGACGACGATGACCCACGGTTTCATCGACAGGAATCATTTCGTACACATCATCTGCGTTACTTTCTAGGAGACATTCTATCCATTGCACTTTCTTTTCTGAAACCACCTTTGACACTTCTTCCATTGGGGAAGTTTTCTCGTCCTTCCTTTTATCGACATAAAAAACGCCAGGCGCTGGTATCTTCCCGGTCGCCATTCTCACGGCTATTTAGCTTCTAACTCAGCGTTCACGTGAACCGAAGCGAATCCCACCGCTGCCACCAGTGTAGCAAGTGAATAGCCACCTTAAGTCGTGCGGCAATCCCGCTCTAAAGGGTAGCGTAACCGCTGCCAGTTATCGCACATCACACTGATTGAAAGTTCAACCGAACATGCATTTTAAACGTTTCATCGCCAATACTCCGCTCGACCAGTTCGTGTCCAGTCCCACTACAGTGCATCTGTTACGTATGTTGTGTAAAATGTCACGCCTTGTTATGAATCAAGTAACTTGCTTAGTTGTATTTTTTTTTTATTCAACTACTTTTTTTTAGATTATGACCGTTATCTAAAATAATCAATTTTCTCTTACAGCTGAAATGCCGCACGTTGGTCCTAGAAGTTTGTACTTCGATGTTACTGGAGAAACCAGGAAAGATAAAGTTAAACTTCCCAGCTGCATAAAGAGTTCTAAACCCGGAGCTCTTCCAAACAGCCAGGTGTGACAACTGTTGCACAAACTTGGGTGAATCAACTCGTGGCAGAAACGATCTCTCCTCTGTCAAACCATAGCGTTATTTAAACCATACCTTAGCGATGCGAGGGCGGTGCGTCGTTGGAATGTTCTGTTTATTGTAACTGTCTAGCTCCAGAGAGAGAAAGGTTCTCTTCACATATCTGTATACCAAAGAAATATTTGTGTGGCGAAATACCGGGTACTGTAAGTTTATGTAGACTCCATTACTCAAACCAATACGTTATAATCATCATCTGTTATTTATTCGATCAAAATTTTAGTTTTACGAAATTGAGGACCCCGTGCGCCGTCGTGTACACACAGTGTCTGTGGCGGGTTGTGATCAGCAGAATGTCGAGAATCTTCGAGGCTTTGAGCTGCTGCCGCCGCGGGTGTCTTTTGGAGTGATAAAGGAAGGCTGCACTTACGTTCATAGTGTACTACTGAAAAATGTCGGCATTGATAGCTGCCGGTACAAAATAAAGCAACCACCACCGTCGACTGGCTTGCGTATTCTCTATCGACCTGGTCCAGTAAGTCTTGTTTCTGTTATCACTTCATTAGAGAGATTTAGCCCCGCGTTTACGTGAAACGCGAACGGCAAGAGTGACCACGTGACCTTGTTTTCCCGCTTTTTTTTCACGTTTGCCGGTTGCGCTTTGCCGTTTCTACGTGATTGCAACCTGTTTCACGTTTGCCGTTTTCGTAAGATTTTCTTTAGTTTTTCTCTCACAGAGTAGACGTTGATTGCCAGAAAAAGGGCACCAAAACTATTCCTTGTAAGTCATACAAGGGCGCCTCCAAATCCACCAGGACGTGAGCCCATGCGTAGCTAAAGCAGCAAGGTTCACGCTATTTTACGTGAAACGTGAAAGGACAAGTTGACGTCTGCTGTTTCACATAAACGTGGTGCTAAGTCTCTTCGTTAATTTAGTGTCAGTAACCTAACGCATGGGATCATGTCCCGCTTTTTTAAAGGTGGCGGCGGGTATATATAGGTATGAACACCGTCCTGGATGTAGAGATATTTGCCGTGGCAGTAGGCGTGGTCGGAGAAAGTGGTTTAGGTCACGTGGGACATCATGTGGAGATAGCTACTGAGACTGACATACTTTACCTTCCTGTTACAGCAAATATCCTTTTGAATCTAACCTGTGTTTACTGAGAAATTAGTTCAGTTGAGGTGAAAGTGTAAGACAAAGAAGGCTTGGTGTATTTCTTATTTTGGGAAAACAAAACTGGAATGAATATAAGAGGAATGCAGCTCTCAGTAAAATTCACGCTCCTTTCTTTTAATCAAATCGACTTTTTTTTAAATCTTAATTTGTTGATAGTCACGGTTTAAGTCTTTCCTTGACTTGTGCTATCCATCATGACAGTGTACGAGTACGAAAACCGCTATGGTGACAACGAGGAGGGCCTGACGCAAGGAACGCATCGCGTACCAAACAGGCCGCCAACTAGAGACCCCACACGGCCCCGTAAAGAAGGAGACTACGCCGTGATAAATACGCCTATTTGATACACAGTTAACGCGTCTAAATCACGAATGCTTTTGGAGTGTTCTACCCTTGTTTTCTTGGTTGTGTTTTGGAAAGGATTTCTTTGCTTGTAGAGTGTTCTACCCTTGTTTCTTTGTTGTTTTTTGGAAAGGATTTCTTAACTTATGCAGTGTTTCCTGCACGTACAAATGTAATAAATTTGCATCATATATTTAAATGGATTTGTATGCTTTTTTCGTCGTTTGTTTCGGCGTCGTAGTTACTGGTCAGTCAACGGGGCCTAGTTGTATAAAGGGCGGATAACACTATCCAACAGATGAATCGCTAATTAGTGGATGAGCGTTGGCAAAACGTACTACGTTGTCCACCGTATAGATTTATCTGGTGGATGGTGATTTCCAGCCTTCGAACCGGGCCAGGTGTAAAAAAAGTGTTTCATCAGCAAATAATTTCTGCATACTTCAGTATTCAGTGCGTATTCCTCATCTGGCTGTATTATGTTTGATGCAATAAGCGAGTCTAGAGTGTCAATCCCCTCCCGGCGTCCCTCATCTCCTCAGGCAACTAGGTGCGAGTGGACCGCTGACACTTCAGGCAAACCGGGAAGGTGCTCTCAGTTCTCTTCCAAGAATTGATTTGTTCTAGGGACTTTGTTCTTGAATTTAACCAGATCTTGAATGGTTGAATTGTTTTTTTTTTTATTTTTTTATGATTCCTGCCATTTTCGATGGATGAGGAGAGAAAATGCCAACCTGAGGGTTAGAAAATAATCCTTGCGGAAGTTGAATAAGTTGGTGGGTGTTGCCATCAACGTAAGAACGAGCGAGTTAATTTTGATACGGTGACATCATTACAATTTATTCACCATGAGTGTTTCTTGTATGCAGGAAAAATGTCGACAGAAGCAGAGTATGTGGCACAATGGGGACAGGGCAGCAATAGGCATTTTGCCGAATTTTCTTCCAAATTTTATACACCACTTCCCAAGCATTCTTCGATTAACTCTCAAGTGCCTGTTGGAGCAACCGCTAATATTGTTTATAAAATATCACCTGGAAGCTTTCGTTTTAGAAGTTGATGTTACTAAAAGTCAAAGCAGTGGGACAGGTCAAAATATTTTATTACGATTCTTTTGGAATGGATATATTATTTTTTTCTGTAAAAATATCTCTCCGTGATCAATATGATAAACTATCAGTGTGTTAATGAATGATAAAATCACAAGCGTATGTAGTTATTTACGTTTTGGTAAAGTGCATCATGAAAATACAAGTTATTTTGCCGGTGTTATTCGCAAATCTAAAGAAGTTTTAAGTAAGTTAAAATAAGACAAAATATTGATTTCAATCACAAGATCATTTGTTTAAACGTGACTGTTTTACCAGTCAGAATATGACATTCGTGACCATCACCACACTACAAGTTGCTCAAAGAATCCAAGACTTCCAGAAATTCTCTAAAGATAGCTCCAGACCAGTTGGGATCACCTCCCGAGGGGTTCTTAAAGGAGACACGTCACGCCTAAAAAAATTTCAAGTTCTTACGCATCACTATTCTATCTTTTTCCTATTTGCTGTTTTCGGCAATCAAACCAATTTCCTTAATCATGGCCTTTGCTACCCTTGACGACACTTTCTTACGTCAAAACAAACGAATAAAAACATTGTGACATAACTCCTTTGAGAACCCTTTGAGCTCATGTGGAATAAAATATCAAAGGAAAGTTTAAACTCTTCAGTTAGGTTGTTTGAGTTTCTGACTATCAGCCCGAAAGTGCCACAGTGAAATTTAAACTTTCTAAAAATCGGCAGAACAGACATAAGATCTGCTGCCGGTTTACATGCGGCGCACAGCTAACTCGTGTAATGTTGAATCACAACTTACCGCAATTCAAAGCTTGACTTTGAGCAGTATTTGGAGTGGTTGTAACCTATCAGAAGACAACCGCCCGTTCACCCTTTTATTTTAAATCAAAAAATATATTTTCATTCAGAACATAAAGTAAATTCGTCTGCGTTTGATGGTAAAGGGTGGCACTTTTTCCTTACCTCTGAACAGGGGAGCAAAGAATGAGAAAAGAGATGTGATTCACATCAGCAAGTTGCACTGCCAATCTAATAATCTTAATCAACCTCTAAACACATTATTGCCAATACTTCGCTATATTTCTTTGACCGTTAAAACGTTAATAAGTATCCAGAGGCCTAAACCAGTAGAATTCTGCGGTCGTTGAATAAAGCTATTGAATTAATCAATAAACTATACAAATAGTTCATTTCAATTTCAGGAAATGTAAAAACTTCCTCTTCACAGCGGATGATTGCAACAATTTTCCATTTTGAACCTGAAGAACAGTAACAAATAATCCAGTTAAAAATGAAGTTCCCGCCAAAATATAATAATTACGTTCACATCTGAACATATACATTTCACGGAGCGAAAAAAAACAAACAATAACACCAAACAGTGTTTAATGTGCTCAATCCTTGCTGAGAAACTCTTACGAAATAATTCAAGGAGCAAAGGAAAATAAATGCCACTGAAATTATTCTCCACTAAAATTATTCCACACTGAAATTGCCAAATATTTCACTTGTGACCTATCTTCACTAAAAAAATCACCCTTCAGTTTTTTCTAGTTTTTGTACATTTTTTGTGAAGAAAAGAAAAGAGGAGAGAATAGCAGGAAACACTGCAAAGCAGAATGAATGTGGTGGCCTAAGCCTCAATTTAAAGGACAAGACAAAAGTAAGACAGCTGCAAGTCTTCAGGAATTCTTTAACAAGACCTATGAAAGATAGTAGAAAGGCAGATGCGAGAATCAGACAACAAGAGTGGAGCCAGGCTAATGCTCGACCGCAGGACTGATGCAAGACAGAAGCAAAAGCTAACCATAAGCAAGAAAGATGCAAGACTACAATAAGTCTAAAGCCAGAAGGCAACAACACAGTAACACAGCAGCAAAATAGGAACAAGAATGCAACCTGTCTAAAGCTAGAGTGAAAAAACACCAGAGTAAGACTGCAACAGGACTACGCAACCACTGCAAGACAGTAGCAAAAGAGAAGCCAGACTGCAACAAGGCTATTGCCACACCATAGCCAAGCTGCTACACGACAGAGGAGGGACTTCTGACAGCCTGAAGCAAAACTAAAGAAGGATTGGTCAAAACATACTGTGAGCGGTTTGTGTCACCCACCATCTTTTAAGACATGAAAAAGAATAACAGGATGTCATCGCTGTGAAGAAAGGTGACCCACCAGAGAAAGAATACACGTCAAGAAAACAGCTACAGAATGTGTCATTACAACTAAATGAGGAACATAGATACTGCTTAAGTAGATATTCTTACTGGAATAAGAGGCTCAATAATTACAGCAACCACTTTGAAAAAGACAATGAAGAGGAAGGGGAGAAGAAATAGGGAGGGTTCCAGCCATGATGATGGCAAATGAGTGGCAGTTCAATGAAATCTACTGTTTCAGTTATCTATTAGAACCACTTATAAAAGTTAAAAGAATGTTACAACAATGAAACAAGTTTAGTCTCAAAATTAGATCTTTATTGTTATAATCAATGACCACATGACTCCACACAAAGAAAAATAGACAGAATTTCAGACATGCACTTAACATGAACAAAAGACAAATATCAACTATGTCATGGAATTTCCCTGTAAATCATACAGCAATGTACAAATGATTGATGCTATGAATTAACATGCATATTTCACTTCCTCTTAATTCACTAAATTGTTACCCTATCCAGTTCTATTATAATTACAATTATCATCATCATTTACAACAAATCAACACTAGAACAAATTTCACTCCACTTGCAACAACACCACATATCACACCAGTAACAAAACAATGACACTACCTATGACTTTTCATGTTAATATTGTAACTATAACTTGAGTGTTAAATAAAGTAAAGTTGTAAAGATGTAGTTTAACAACTTTGCCTTTCACAGACACCATGCATAACCCTTTCAGCAACACCAGATATTATTACAATCATATGCAAAACACAATATTTTGACTATTTCAACAGGTGCCACTAGTTATACAGGTTGTAAACAACATATCCTGCACATATTTTCTGTCAATTCAATCATCTACAAGTACACTTAAACAGTTTCATCCAATTTTATAGATGTTTAGAAAATTAAAAAAAGAAGTCTCTCTTCAAGAGACTGAAGAGACAAACAGCAATTTATGGAATCTATCTGTTGAATAAAACTTTGCTTGAATGAGGGTTAGTAGTAAGAAATGTTCAGCACATGGAAAAACTAAGAGAAGACAACTGAACTGTAGAATATGAGTCTGAATACTTAAATGATAAAGATCTTTCACTTATTAAAGCTCAAATTAGTTTTCCAGGTAGAACCAATAAGTGACTTTGATGTATGGATAGAATAATGCAATTTGCTTTGCTCCTACAGACTTTCATTTGTCTAAGTCTTCTCAGCTTTTTATGCATGTGCAGTTAATAGGAAAATTGCCAGTGTAGCTGAAAGGGTTGTTTAGTGATACACACAGACAAAATAACACATAAACTTCAGTATATATTACATTATTAAATCTGATAATTTCTCTTCAAACATACAGAAATATATTAAGATCATTTGTTACAAAACTCATTTTTTTTTTTGCAATAGACACTAATCAATTGGTCCATAGTCAATAGCAGACTGCAGGTACAACACAAAGAACTTTAGTAGTTTCTCCAGGCTTTACATTTAGCCTGGTAATTGGTTGGTCTTCTGCAGAATTAGTCTAGTAAGAAAGAGTAGTTATGTGTTAGTATAGATTACTTTACATTATTTAGCAATGATGGAAAGAGTGCTTAATTCCCCACATTTTCTCTCATATGGTCATTAATGCAAGCTTGTTAGACGAGAGACGAAAAATTCTGTACCACAGTTACAGATATATTATTCTTTTAGCTGTCTTCCATACAACGTTTCCAGAATGGAATGACAATGTCAAGGAACATTTTGTTTCATGATATAAGTCAATGACCTTAGGATAGAAGAGTTAGCAATAACTGCAATATAAAATTACTATCAATTTACAAATAGTGTACCTTAACACATTTAAATATCAAGGAAAAAAAATCTGTGAATGTTTGGAAGGCATAAGGAGCAATAAATTCATTGTAGCTGTCACAAGACACTACTAGAAAGATAATGACATAGTTCATCATACAATACTATAATCTTGTAAACAATTTTATTTTAAATTAGCTCTACCTGTGGAAAGAAAGAGTCTATCAAGATGTAATTTACCTTATCTTTGGTAAGGATGTTCCCGTATTGGTCTCCGTGGTTTAACTGCACCTAAACATAAACAAATTCCCTACTAACATGACAACAAACTTCTCTTTCATTCATGTTGATAATTTGTTCTCTGTGTCACAAGTTATATAATGAACCATGAGTAATATTATTAGAGAGGAGTTAATGAAACTGGGTCTAGCAATTGTTTGCTTTTTCTATTTATGATACACTTTAGGTTTATACTCTTGATCCACTTTTTCTTGCTCACCTCCAAACAAACTCTTTTGTGGGTCTTCTGACAGACTTATTTGCAAACTTGTTGAGTCAGACTTACCAAGGATGGAAGTTTCCAATCCATAGTCAAATATAGTTCCTGGTCTGGTTGTATATGAAGCAAGTTCCAGTCCTGAAAGGCTTGCAGGGTATGCACTTGGAACTAGGAAAAATAAACAAATTGCTACAGATGGTATTTTACCACAACTCTTGTTTTAGCTCAAGCTGTGATAATAAATCAACTGCAGGCAATAACTTCAAACTTCACCCCATCCAAGTGAAAGAAACTAAGAAACCTTCACAGCTGATATTCAATGAAAAGCAACTCCTGTCTGAGCTGATATACCCAATGAAATATTTTATTATCAGGGCTGTGGTCTAATAGCGCCCAGTGGCCCCTGGCAGGTTACTTTTGCTCTTCGGCAACTCAGGAATCTTAGTCTTTTAATAAAAAGCATATGCTGGGCACCCTGAATTACACAGTTTCAGAGCACTGGACTGGGCTTCCTTCAATTGTTCTTAGAGCACAGCCTTGATTAATCCTTGGATAAAATTAAAAACTAAACAAGGAATGAAGCATTATTGACAACACCACATACCAGGAGGTCTTGCAAATCCATATCCGGCTAAGGCAGGTGGAAGAGGCATACCAAGAAGACCATTGTGTATAACCGGAGTATTGCCTACACAAATAGTATCTTCCGGTGAAAAAAAGCATCCTACATGTAAAAGTCATAAGCAGGCTATAAACAAACCATGCAGATTTGTTTTCTATGCACCACGCTTAATTTTCTCAAAGTTGCTATTTGACAACCTAAAATCATTACCTAAATAGTCAACAAAACAAAAGTTTGGTTGCCAAAAAATAGTGCAGTTTGTTCCATATTACCACAATTTCTGGCCGTTTATCTGCTGGTAATCTGTTGATTTTTCCCTAAACACACACCACTACAGGTAATAGAGAGGTGCAGGTTAGTGACAATTTCGAAATCTACTGGAAGTTGAATTGAAAAAAATTTCACCTACCTGCGTTTCCACCACTCAAATGAATTTTATTGTATTATGAGTGCCACAAAGGGGCACGAAAACACGATGGCGACTCGAGTTTATTTCACACAATATGCAACTTTGCTAATACTGGGGTCAGAATGAATGCCAGGATTGGCCAAGCCAGCCCCAGGTAGCTCATGGGGCATGTTGCTTCACGCGGTCTATATCTTTGTTGTTGTTGTTGTATGAGATGCAGAATCCAAAAGCTTCAAAAATTCCTTTAGATTTGTCTCTTTGCAAACCTTTTTGCTTTTTATGATAGGTCAAGGTGATCATTTAACTATGTGGGAATGTGGAAATGACTGTGGATATCCCAAAAGGTACAAAATTTTAACGAAAACCTTTTGCTTCCATTGCATAGGTTCGTGCTGAAGTCCGTAATACATTCTTACACCTTCCATTCCATTCCGTTTCACACAGCCTCGATCCTTTATGTTGAAGAGTCTCAAAAAGTTTAAAAAAATTTGTTTGCAACCTTCTCTCGCTCTATGATGGGCCGAGTAGAACATGCTAACCAAAGATATCCTGTAAGTTACGTAAATTGAAATCTGTTATTTACATTTCGTGGCAACATTTCGTTCATGATGTCTTCAGTTTCCATTAGTTGCGGTATACAATCAATAATAATAATATATTTATTACTTATAGAGTGCTATTTACAATGACAGATCAACAGCACTTTACAATCAATCCTAACCCACCCATCCCAGGGGAGGACATCCATCACACAGTAATCTCGTGCATGGGAAATTAACGTCTCCTACCCCTAACCCTGTAGGAGACGGGATCTCCATTTATTTGTCCCTATCCGAGAAGACTAGAATATCTAACCATTTCTTGATGTTATAGAAAGGTAGCATATTCTTCTCAATTATTTTAAGACCTTGAGTGTTGTCCGGCCGGGGCTTGAACCCTCGACCTCCCGCACAACAGTCCAGCGCTCTATCCATAGAGCTAACGGTGAGGCGGTTAGCATGTTCCCCTCAGCCCATCATAGAGCGAGAGAAGGTTGCAAACAAATTTTTTTAAACATTTTTGAAGCTTTTTGAGAATATACAACATAAAGGATCCAGCCTGTTCTTTTTCCTTTGTCCAATTTTCAATGGAAGTCGATTGATAACTTTACTCCCTTGGTTTTCCCCAGGAATAAACATTTAAGATGTCAATATGCCAATTTGTCGGGATCACCAGACAATCGGGTGCTATCAAAGCGAGGGAATATAAACTCACGGGAGTACAAACTGTACAATATACCCTCTAGATCAAAATTATAAAATGCAAGGAAAAATAACCAAGAAATATCCCTTTATTCAAAAAGTGCGAAAACAGACCGATCAGAAGCAAAAATGAATGCATTTCTTGTATTTACAAGACCCGGGCAATATATTCACCATCGTTGCTTACATACAGAGTCCGTACACTTTTTTGTGGACAGAATTCAAGACTTTTTCTCATCGCATTTGACTTTGAAATGAGAGTTACTTTCCCAGTGGACTCTGCCTCTTCTGCAAATTGGTCAGCAGACTTCAACAGGGCCTCAATGTTAGCTTTAATTCTTATCTTTACTTCTCTTAAGTTATCCAGTTCTTCAAGGGTAGCTTTCCTTTTCGTTAAATCTAGCTGGACCAGCTTAGCTGTTGATATCACTTCAGCCAAGGCTTCTACTTTCACAAATCTTTCCAACAGGTTGAAGATGAGTTGAAACATATCTGTTTCCAGGAATGGCAACATTGGCATGTTTGTCTGATATCGGTTAAGAAAATGGGCCATTTCATTAGCAATTGACAGGAAAATGTTGGCTTTAACTTCAAACAAGGCATCCCCACAACTTGCATGTGTTTTGTGTAGATAACGTACGTAATTTGTCCATACCGGCCACGGAAGTTTCTTATGTTTCTTGCTGATCAAGTGGCTTTGCAAAGCAGCTTCTCCCATGCTTGAAATATCAATTGCCTCATGCACCTATCAATGGTTTGCCCCAGGATGGGGGGGCCCGGGCGACCCATGGGAAATGTGACATTTTCAGGTTTCCAAATGTCAATTTCTCCACCCTTGGGTCTCCACTGTGAGTCAAATTCCCACCCCTGGGGACCTCAGACCTTCATGGACAGACTATACACAGACCTTTGTGGATGTCAAAATCCCCACCCACATGCAAATGGTCTCAGCATCACACACAACAACAACAGATATATGGGCCACGCAAAGCAACAAGCCCCTTGGGCGACCTGGTACTGGCTTGGCCAATCCCAAAGTTCATTCTGACCCCAGTACTAAAAGTCACTTTAGTTGCACAATGAAAAAATTTTTATCTGCACACATGTAAACAAAACCTTGATGGTGACAAAAATAATCTAAGGGTATCCGGCGCATCAGTAACTGGCGTTGAACGATCACTCGGACAAAATGTGGCCACAAATTCACATTATGTCGAGTATGAAACGTTGTAAGCTTTTTTGTACAAATTTTCTTTGCTTTTAAGGTGCAGGTTATCTACCAGTGCGGGTAATCTGTTGACTTTTTTTTTCACAGCATGCAATAATCGGCCAGTGCGGGTAATTGGCCGTGTGGGTAAACAGCCAGAAATTATGGTACATGGTGCCAGTCTGCTACATGTGTCTAAACAACTTATGCAGTTAATTAAGAACCATGCAATAGTATAGAGAAAACCCTGTAAGAAAATGTTTTGCAAAAATTGCTCAAACGATTAGAAAAGCTGAGACTTTGATCAAAAGTAAAATAGAGAGCTCATATTTGTATCGGTACTAACATGATTTTGAGTGCAACTTGGTGTTAAATAAGCATGAGTAAAGTTATCAAAGACAACAAAATTGCACAAGCCCTTAAGGCGAGTGAAATTGCAAGTCTTTCAAAAATTTACAACATCTTATTGTACCAAATTTTGTAAGAAGTAATGTTACTTGTTAATAATTAACATAAAAAAGTACAACAGAGTCAAGACATACAAAATTTTGATAGCACACACTCTATTTGTAATTTGCTCTCGTGTTTCAATGATGCACTTGTGTTACATGAAAATTTATCTTTTTCAGCCAATCAGAGGTGCATAATTCTTTCATGTATATAAGGAAACTATGAATATTTTGAAGTTGGTCTTTTTTAATTTTGTTGACAAACCTGCTTGTTCTCTCAAAGTGCCATTCATTAATGCCAGGTCTTTCAACTGTTTCTTTTTTAATTCATCTTCTCCCTCATCCTATAGAAAAACAAATGTCATGTAGAAGGTTGCCATTTACAAATTGCCCTCTACTGGCAAGAAAACACAAATTCAAGCCATACCACAGGTTGAAGAAGATCTTTGGCTCTTTCAACAGCTTTTGCAAGTCTTAACTTTGCTCTCTCCTCTGTATCTTCCACTGATATAAGCACATGCAGATCCTCCTCTAAATGTTCATAGTTTGGTTGGCCACGTTTCTCTTCTTCCTACATGTATAATTATAACATAACCAAAGTAAGGCGCGCGCTCTGATTGGTCAATTGAGCGTCCCCCATTTGCCCATGGGTGTACGCTGCTGACGTGAGCAAATGCAAAGACTATTTTTCCGCGCGCGCTTGTTTTTTCTGGTCACGTAAGATTTGTTAAATAAAAGGGAACTCTTTAGCTACAATGTGTTAATGTTATGTTATAAAACAAATGGTAAACACCACAGCGTACACTATTGAGTTATGGATGCACTTGGGAGGTTTGCTAAGCACTCAAGAAGCTAGAGTCGCTCTCGGCTATCGCCTCGAGCGACTCTTACGCTTCTTTCGTGCTTAGCAACCTCCCGCGTGCATCCATAACTCAATAGTGTACGCTGTGGTGTTTACCATTTGTTAAAGATAAAATCACAGACATCATCCTTGAGGTCACAACCTATTTTGCCTATTATTTGAAACTCCTTTTGAAATATGACAAAACTAACCAATTTTTTATCTTTCATGGAACCTTTTCCTCTGACTAACAGTTTGCATCCAGTTGAAGACTCCACTTCTCTTAAAGTCATTCCCCGTGGGCCAATTACCCTACCAACAAAATTAAACTGCAACAAGAGATCAAAACGTATTAAAATCTTAAAGGCATGGAACTAGGTGTGCAATATTAGATTCAAAATACTGTATTTACCCGTGTATAAATCGACCCTTTATGACAGAAAAATCGGCCCAAAAAATCACCCTCAACTTATACACAGATCATAGACAAAGACCTGACCCAAGCAATCCAAAAAATTAGCCTAACAATTGCCTGAAGTCCATTAAGAAAAGCGAGTTTACAAAACCAGTTCCAGTTTCATCAGTTTTCAGCGCGTTCTTCGTCGATGAAAAAGTTTGAAATAATAAATTTAGTGTGGCTTAAACAGAAACCTAGAGGGGCTGATTTCTATTGTATCTTCTGATCTATAGAACAGACATTTTTCCTTACAGCTTTGCTGCTGTCAAGGCTGTGCTCTAAGAAAATTTTCAGGGAGCCCTTTAGGCTCCCAACCATTCCAGCTAGGGTGCCCAGCCCTCCAAGTTGGTCGCCCAAAAATTAATTAAATTCTTAATTAATTAAGCAATTACAGTGTAGTAATATATAATTAATTTATTTCATGTTTTAATCAATTAATACTTCATCAAACCATAAATTTCAATAATTCAAGCTGTTTAGAAAGCATTTAACTTTTGGTGTTTCTGTTTACCATATATAATACACTGTCAGATAACTTCTGGCTCCTTTTCAGCACAAACAAGTTTGACTCCCAGTTAAAGCTATCTTTGCTATAAGATCCATTGGACGCATCCGTCGATACCTTCCCAACGATGCATTGAAGATGCTAGTCAACTCCCTTGTAATTTCTAGACTAGACTATTGAAATAGCATTCTATATGGGATACCAAAGTATCAAAGGGACAAACTACAGAGGATCCAGAATATCGCTGCTCATATGATAACCGGAACACGAAACACTGACCAAATCACACCTATTTTAAAGAATCTACATTGGCCGCCAATCGAAGCAAGAGTTAATATTAAGATATTATTTAACTTATAAGATCTTAAATGAGCAATCTACTAGTTATTTAGAACCTATTATACAAGAATACCACCCATCAAGAACACTGAGATCATCAACTCACTTACAGTTATGCATCCCACCTATTAACTCCAATTCCTATGGTGGACGCGCTTTTTCAGAATCTGCACCGAAACTACGGAACTCAATTTCCAAATATATTAAAAGAGCGGAAACAGTAGAAACATTCAAAACTAGGCTTAAGACATTTTTGCTTAACAAACATTACTGTTAATTGATTACTTATTCTTATGTCTTAATAATCTGTTGTTAGGCACATTGAGATTAGAAATGCACCCTATAAGCATCTATTTATTATTATCATTATTATTATTAATGGATCCATCTCCTTCATATTTTTTCACAGCATCAGCAATCTTTAAGATCACCATTCTACAGCTTGAGTCATCTGTGAAGCACGCCGATTTTATGTAAAGCAAAAGGCCAAATGACCGAAGTAAAAACCCCCCGCATCAAGAGATTTTCCGTAAAAATTTCCTTGTTCATCCATTCTTCGTAAAAGAAGTGAGGGGCAAAATGAAAAAGCCATACATATTGCAACTGACTATCTGTGGAGAGCTGAAATTTTCAGAAATTCGACAAAAAATTGACTAGATATTTTACAGGTACAATTAAAAATAGTGTTGCTAGTCTGGCCACGAGAACCATTGGGGAAGGTAATCTGACAAAATCGTGGCGCTCTGTAAGTGAAATGTTTTAATTTTTGAGTGTGTTGCTATTTTTAGCAGTGAGCTTGTGTTATTTTTCAGTTGAAATGGCAATTGTGTTTCTTTGGATATTTTCAAACCACTTAGAACTTTCACTCGAAAGCACCACGGTAAACAAGTCTAAATATGAAATTGTTATAAGCTTAGTTCTCGCTAAATCTTCCTGAAGTAATTGCAAGTCACTTATCACAGCGATTGAAAAACACCCACAAACAAAGCTGGCTTGCCAGAAATTTGCATATAGAAAGAATCTTTGTTTGAAATAAAGATGAACGCACTACACTTTCCAAATCCATCGAAACACTGAAATAAATCAGACATTGATCATCTCAAGGAAAATCACAGTGTTCAAGGCATATTTTTGCAATATCCCTGCGGTTTATCACATGTGAAGTGACAGGAACTATTGTTTCAATAATTATTATTTGGGTTCGTATGAAATTATGTGGAATGAAATGTAGCAGTTCCTTTGAAATCTTGGAACGCAAACAATTTGACAACGTGTTGCGCAAAAGAATATTTTTTCTGCTAGTAACGCTTATAAATCAACCAAATAAAAATGTAGCAGTCAATCGCCAGATTTACCATAGAGGCGAATGCTGCACAAGAGACTGAGTGCCCGGCTGGGCGACTGCAATATTTTTCAGTCGCCCGGGACCAAATATTAGTCGCCTGAGAGCAAATGTTAGTCGCCGCTAGAGCACAGCCTTGGCTGTTTTCGGTGCTCAATTCTCCTTTTCATCGAACGATTACAGTAGCTTAGTGACTTGGAAAATGCTGTTTTCTCGCGTGGTCTTGTTTGTTACGAGCATGGACCATTATGCTATTGTGTAGTTTCCAAGATGGCCGTGTTTTCATCAAGCAATCCTTCAAAGCTCTTCAGTGTTCCTTTGGTCTACTAAATCTCCTTTCAAAAGGTTATTTAAATGCATGAAGATTTCAATTTCAAAGTGATTTACAAAATATGGTAAATTACTTCTCTAGTAAATTGAAGTGCTTGTATATGCTAAAATCATGAATCATGGTGATGTGCTACTAAACTTCACAGAACACAGTTACATTTTGCTCTGCAGTTTTTTTTTAATTCACCATGTTTTCAATACATTTTCAGAAATAAGAGATCTACCATTTGGGAAATTTCTATCGGTCTGAATTTTTCTTTACTAGAAATTACAAAAAATCCGATTTTTGACCTTGAAAATGGGGGGTCGACTTATACACGGATAAATACAGTACATGCATTTCAAAGTTTGATTAATTATCTACATGTAGATGGAAACCAAAAAATTTTTTTCAGCCCTACAGACCTCAGTTTGGTCCAAAAATAAGGGGGGGAGGGCCAAGGTCCCTGTGCCCCTCCCCTGGATCTGCCACTGACGTAACATGGTTGCAATTTTCTAAAATTTAGCAAGCTAATCTAAAATACTACATAGTGAAATTGACATGAATGTCTTCACATGGTTTATTTAGATGGTGTATTTTTATTATACTGAAGGTAATGTACGACTAGAGATTTAAGAGAGTACAGAATTAACTTTACCTTTGGATATTCTTTGACTGGTGCATAAACCTTTTCTGACAATTTCACTCTTGGCCCTGATGAAGCTGGAAGTTGAAGTTCCCCAAACACTCCATCTGCTTCATTCTTGATCACTCCATGAAAGAGCTCATTTCTAACTCTGCTTATTTCTGTTCAGAGAAGAAAGTGGTTTTTTTTTTTTTTTTCAACCACACGGCACAATTAAATGTCTAAAAGATACCTAAATAGTTTTAATACTTAATATGGGAGGAAAACCAAACTAGAGGAAAGCTGACAGGGAAGTAAACAGCAAATAACATGCTAACACCACTCTGCTTTCCCCATTAAAAATGGCTGTCTCTATTCTTATTTGAACCATCCATGTCACTTGAAAGGTAAAAAAAAAAAAATGATCACTGAAATCACTGTCTGGCTGCATTTCCATGCCATCAAAGTTAAATATTAGACACAAACATCAAAATTACAATTGTCCTGCCTACAACCTCCACTGACATTTACAATGATTATGACAAGATAAAACTGATAACAGTGCCACTGTTAAAAGAGTTCTTGTTGAGAACAAAATTCAGTGGGGGTATCATTGCATTTTTAAAAGGCTAATACCTATCATGCATTTCCCCTTTAATACTACCAATGAAAGCTTTGAAATACTTTGCCTTTTCTTTGGATAAAAACCTAGAGAAAATTTTTAGTTTGTTTTAAGAAAGTAAGGTGTACAAATCACATGATCTCCAACTTCCTGAAAGTCACACCTTGAAGGCATTTTCATTTAATAAAGAAGCTGTCATTATTACGAAGAAATCCAGAGATTTTATTTACTTTTGATTAGCAGAATATTATAATTTCATTTAAGATATCTAATTTAATTAACTATCATATTTGTAAATTTTTATTATCAATGTTTGTACCTGTGTGTGTGTGTATCTGTGTGTGTCTGTGTGTGTGTGTGTGTCTGTGTCTCTGTGTGTGTGCGTGTGTATTGAACCCTTTTATTCCCAGAAGTGATTAATGCCTTCTCCTTGACCCACCAAGAAAAAACGGCCAATTCCTAAGAAGGATGTCCATGACAACTAATTTAATAAATACTCAGTGAATCCAAGTTATCATTCGCACAAAGTGAGAAGAAAGTAGTCTTGAAAACAAAAAGAGCATTTGTTAGTTTTGGATAGCTGTATAATTGATAAAAAGAAGAGCATGTGCCTTTAAAAACATGCATGAATTATTTCCCTAACTTTATTCCATTCTGAAACAAATTCACTCACAGAAAATAGTTACTTCAGACCAAAAGCAATTATGGTGGTTCACAAGACATCACTGTCTTGTACCTATTAACAATGCCAACTACAGAAAAATATTAGTAAGAACAGTCAAAGTTTGATAAATAACAAGTTCCTTACAATTAATTTTTTTGGTAAACAAGTTCAACATTGCATTCAAAAAATGACGAAACAGAATCTCCAGGTTTCATTTAAAAATGATATATTTACAAAGCCTAAATTAAATTTAGGACAGTGGTCAATGGGTATTGGGAGAACATAAAAACTATTTCATAATCGTTGACAGAAAATATAAAGACAGGAAAAGAGCTGACAATTGATGCTTTCAATTTATTTGCTTTCCTACAAAAATATCCTAACAGGCACAACAAGGATTTTAGTTTCTCCAGGCTATAAAATACAGCACGAGATGTGACCAAATGGTTCATGTCCATTCTCAATTCAATTTCAAGAAAATTGCACTCAGCTAAGAGAAACCACACTAGAAATAAAATGCACAAAACCACATATATCCTACTTTTTATCTGAAAAGCTCCTCTTAATTTGTGGCTGCATGTGCCTGATTACTAAGTTATAATTGCAATTATTTAGATTTGCTCTGTTTGGTCAGATACGTGTCATGGAAAGCATCTGTCCTTAATCAAGATAAAGAACATTACTACACAAATTCCACAAAGTATGTTCCTAAGAGTGAATTCCTCGAGAGCCACAAAACGAAACGATTAAACTGGCTTCAGCAAATGCTACGAACAATTCTAGGCACACCCTGAATACAACCGTTTATTTCCATTCCTTCGCGCTGCCCGACCAAGCACTCGCTGATAAATAAATCTCAGCTAAATCAGAACAAGCCATCATGTTTTCACAGTTATTTGACCCCGTCAAATTAGAAACTAGACGAATTCCAAGCGTGACGATTTTCCTTCAAAGATAACATGTAATTTCATGGACCGTCAAGCGTTTCAAATGTTGAAACTGCTTCACAAAAGACTTTTCCAAGTAAAAGCTAATGTTAAAGTTTGTTTACATACAAGAATAAAAACAAAACACGGCCCCAGCGAACTAACAAAAGTAACCAGTATGGCAAAGCGTGCACGATTGGTCTCCTGACGGCCTCGTGAATATACACCCTACGCCGTATTTCCCTTTCAGATGTGAGTTTGTTCAGTTTCAATTTATGCAACATGGTGTGCCAATACATAATAAAACAAAGACAAGTGAGTCGTCAAAGAATTGTGGCTTTCACATAACCAGATAAAATATTCATACATCCCACTGGGTGGAAAGAAATCTAGTTGAATGTAATAGAATACGAGTTAATGAAACAGAAAATCATCACAAGCTTATTCACAATACTGCAACCGAGATTCTAATGTGCAAGTGTTGAGGGGGGAAATAAACATAGTTTTAACGAAGAAATCCTTCCAAAGCCCTGCAGATAACAGAGAGCGCGCGGACCAACAAAGAGGCTTACTACAGATTAGTTTTGAAGGCAACTGTAAAGAGCGCGTCGACCGACCCAATGTTCATTTTTCAATTTCAACCTAACTAAATCTTTCCTAGATACTAAGCAAAATGTCATATGTCCAACAAACCTGAGGTTGATCTCTTGTATTCCCTGGTGTGTCAGTGATGCTAACCTAAAACACGATCGCTGTTCGGTAAACACTGGAAATGGTGTCCGGATGTCGGGCAAACAAATGGAAGATTTATGCTCCGTGTTCGCTGGCCGCGATCGATTACGTTTTTCGTCGCGGCATTTTTCGCTTAAAATCGCGTTAGAACAAACTCTACCTCTGAAATGAATTAGATATTACCTTGCGAAGTTACGTTCTCTTTTTTTCTTCTGGGGATTATTTATGTTCATTTACCGATTATTTATAATAACTGCAGTTATTATTATATTAAATTTGAAGTTAACTTGGCGCAACACTGTACCTTGATCCAGCAATCTTTCGGCGTGAAGAAATATCTTGGGCATTTTCGATACCGTTGTTTTGTCGCTGAGAAGTTCATTAAGATATTCAGGAGAAGCGACAGAACAAGACATTGTTGCTGTTATGGGTTAGTAGAACGTAAAAGGAAAACACATAAAAAAGCAATAGCGGTTGTTCTACGCCTGAGCAAGTCTTGCGAACCTCGACATGTGCAACCAATGATTACTCGGCCAAGGAACTGGGCTATGTTACTCGACCCAAGCTCTTCAGCCAGTGTCTGAGGTTACATATGGTTGTTGTCTTATATGAAGAGGTTATATGTCTTCAACATGGCAGCAGCGGCAGTTCAGACAAACTCAGAAAGTGATGAAGTTGATAAATTATTTTCACGGTTTATGTGCGAGGTACTGGCTACTTTATTCCTTGTACCAACTTTACTGTTTATTTCCCCGTTAAAATTTGTATATTTACCTAAACTTAGACCTAAGGTTTTTCATTTGATTTAGTTACAAGGTTAGCATCTGTATTTGCACCAAAGATGAATTTTATTTTCAGTGAATTTGCTAAGACGATAATCAGATAAACTGCCCCATTTCTCTCATTTCAATTATTTCTTCCTCGGAAACATGAAGAAATTTCTTGGCTGACAAGCGGCTATTTTGGAAATTGACTATTAATTTCACTGGGTGATCATTATGAAGGTAACATATGACGTAATCAACTACCAATCAAAATTATACTAACACTGGTCCCTGATAATTTGATTAATAATAGACTCATTTACAGTTCTCTATGAATTGCAGAAAAAGTCATGTTTACATTTCTTTTACTTCAATCAATGATTGTTCTGCATCAAAGAACCAAAGGTACAGCATATTAGCAGGGATCAACCATTTGGAGATGTTTGACTGTGTTTGTGTGCGTGTGTGTGTCTGTGTGTGCATGTGTGTGTAGAAGGGGGATATTTATGAAAAGTTTATATTTTCATTCAAATATCTCCCACCCACTTGTTGTCAATGAAGTGTTCATTTGAGCCCATTTTTTGTCTTTCATCAACCTCCAGGTCAAAGAGATTGAGAAGAGAGATTCTGTTTTAACTGGACCACAGCAGATAGAAAGGCTGACACGGCCTGGATCTAGTTACTTTAATCTGAATCCTTATGAGGTAAACTGTAAATGAAGTTTTGGATTGCAATGAAGATTGGTCAATCATTCCTGCATAGAAATAAAAGGTTCATGGTTATCATTCATAAATTGCCGTGTCATTACTTTCAATACTTACAGGCTGTTTAGGTTATTATGGTAAGGTTATTTATTTCCTTATTTTGTTTTGGTTGTATGCTATTCTATCAATGAATCAAACTGATTTGAATTAGGACCTTATGCTTTTATGTATAGGTGTGAAAACAGTTTGATTTTTCTAAGTATTTGGAGATTTAGTGTGCATTCACAAAAGATCAAATGTAAAACAAAAGGTACATGTAAACAAACTCATTTTTTTTCTTTGAATTCAGCACCCAGTGCACTGACCCTTAAAAATTGAAAACACCTGCATCAATTATTTCAATTTCCAGGTTCTTCAGATACCTACTGATGCTAAAGAAGAAGTAATAAGAAAACAATACAGAAAGGTTAGTTCTCAGAAAGCAGCTTACTTAGTATTAAGGTCAACGTAAGTTTCATATTTAATGCTGAATGTTCTCAAAAAGGCTGAATTTAGAAGAGGACATGGTTTTTTACAAGATGCTGCATTGCAACTCTTTTTACACACTTATTTTTTTAATTGAAAACGCATATGGATAACTGCAAAGATAATATTATAGAAGAGGTCTTCTGGAAGTTTTCGACCCGTATCTATGACTTGAGGATAGTGTATTTGTCTCCTTTGATTTTTTCTTTATAACATTTATTATTGTATTAATATTGCCCATGAACAAGCTCAATTTATTTGCCACAATCTTATCTTGTTTGAAATATAGCTGTCATTCCTGGTCCATCCTGATAAGAACAGAGAGGACTCAGACAGAGCCCAAAAAGCATTTGAAGGTACAGTACACTGATGGGGTTGCAAATTGGAAAATGACACTTTGTTCTCAGTTAATGCAGATGTTTGTTCTGCCATTAGTGTTTTGCATGATGTCACAATTGCTGTTTGGGTTTTCCAAAACAATAGAATTACAGCCATGTCTATTATATACCAAAAAATCAAATTGTAGCCATCTTTGTGTGGTAGATCAATCATGAGGGATTTAAACTCTTGCCATCTTAAAACCTTCATTTACTCTACGGATTCTGTGAACAATCAAAGGACAGTGTGTTCTCTTTGCACTGACATCTACAAATGTCCTTCTTGTGTGAAGATGATGTTAACTCTTGGCTCTTTCTCCTAAATTTATTATGTCATGGTTAGTATAGGGGTGTTAGAAGAGCCCAAAACTGCAGGTTTTCCATTAAGGGCTGAACAACAAGTCGAAATTGACTGGCTATGATAATGAATTTCCTGACATCCTTAGAAATCTCAACTGAAATAAAAAGAGTCCCTGAAAGGACATGAGTACTGGTTAACCTGTTGTTTGAATATGTAAAACCAAAGTATGAGTTGATATATTCTTGTTTGATTTGATTTTGTCCCTGAAATGTGTTATTAATGAACTGTTTCAACTATTTTTTATCAAAATAAGCACAGTAAACTGAAAGAATTTTAGAAAACTTCAAAGTGTTTTTGGTCTCACATCTTGAGATTGCCAGAGAGCTTCTGTAAAGTTGTGGAGAAATTCAAAATGACAGTTGCCATCTAACAGGCTAGAATAAAAAGTACTTTCCAATGGCAGTCTACTTAAACAATGGAAAATAATATCTGGCTAATATTTACATAACATAATGGCATTAAATCAATGAGGCCAATGAAATGCTAAATATAAACTGTATAAAGCAGGGTTTTTTTTTATTATAAAAATTTGTGTTTCAAAGGTGGAAATTGATCAAAGGAACTGGAGTGAATCACAACATGTTTGCAATCTCACTCTGTGTGAGATTGCTCTGAAAGCTACAAAAAAGTCACAGACTTACTAGTGCTTACTGACTGACTTACTCATTTACCACACAATACCATATGCCAATAAGTTGAGCCAAAACTCCCAACAAGAGAAGAAGTTTATTGACCAAAGAGAAGAGACATACATTAAAGGAATGAACAAGGAAAAAGGAGCTGCGCTAAATATATGTACCAACCGTGTGACAACAAGGTGAACTAAACAACAGCGTGCATGCAAAGCGGAACAATGAAGCAGACTAAACGACAGCGTGCACAATGTGTCACGCCGTAAAAGTTAATGGGGGGAACTAAACAACAATGCGAACTATGGCAATAACTGTTATTTGACAGTTTGAAACATACCTTGTTTGAAAGCCAGTAACCACTCCATCATATTACTTACTATCCCACATTATTCTCATGTGTCTTCTTCAAAAAAAATCTATTTAATAACTAATAAAATTTAGAGATTTGATAAATAGAAGATTATTTATTTGGACTAAGTAATCTTTGATTGTTGAATCAAGTCATGATTTTGCTATTTAAAGAGATTATGACTTTTTGGCAACTGAAGAATATTAGTTTCTGCTCCGAAATGCAGGAAAATGCATCTGTAACTGACAAATTTCAAACTCTGTCCTGGCAAGCTCACATGCAGAGCACCTAGCTGGGGCAAGGACTTTCAATTCTTGTGTTAGGTATAATGTTCATGGGCCAAATCCAGATGCCTCTCTTACCCAAACCTCAATGAAATTCCCACAAACTTTTATCATAAACGGTAGTGGACAACTTCTGATGTCTAACCAAATCATTTTGTAAGCTTTAAAACTGACAGTCCACCAGCTGATGGAGCTGCTATATGAACAAGCTGTTGGACTGTTTAAGTCTGACGTATGGTGTTTGTATCAGAACACATGTCAATATATATGTCAAATATATGTCAACATTTGTACTCAATATTTATTCATCTATTTTTCTACCCACATTTAATCATTCCAGCGGTTAGTAATGCTCATCAGTTGCTTCTGGATAATGACAAAATGAAAAAGGTTCATGAAATTCTTGAAGAAGCACAAGCAATGGTCAAGGCTAATGTAAGTGATCTCTGTTGAGAACATGGGAATGGGAAGGCTGCTACACAAATGATCACTGATAACACAAACCCTAAAACTAAATTGTGGGGAAATAAATTATCATTGCTGGTACTAAATTAATCATTGACAGCACACAGAAAAATGAGATACACATGTATGGACATCTCTGGGAGAAATCTTAGGTAGTTATTCTAATGTATGTGAAGACTGCATTATTAGATGCTAACTCCTGGATACTTTAATTGCCTGATGGTATACAAACCTGGTGAATGTTATTAACTAATGGTACATTCACATAGTTATTGAGCAAAATGAATTGTTCTTATTACAAATCATCATTCATATATTTGGCTTGGACAGGGTGCTTCAATCTTTTCTATGGCTAAAATTTATATTTAGGGGCCATATTATAATTGGTATGTTTTTGAATGTTTTTTCAGCAAACCATTTTCTCCAAATCTAATTTTTCATGAATCAGTGGAGGTTGTATTTGATGTAAGGGCATACTTTGTTAGGATACATTTCTATAAACTGGAAACCTAAACCAGTGTCCTATTTTAGCTTAAAGAAAAGAAAAAGCAAGCAAGGAAAGAGGGCAAAGAGAAAATCGAAGAAGAGGAAGATCCAGATAAGGTAAGGAACTGACATTGCCCAGTTCAGAGCGAGTGTTACATGTGATCCTTTTGTGTGGAGCAAGTTTGTGTCATAATAATAACAGTGCAATGTATAAGAAACACGTGTACCTGGCTTGTTTCAGTCATGATTGGTGGAAGATTCTACAATTATAGCAACATAGTGTGTTTCAAATTAACACTGGAATACATCTCTGAGGCACTATTTCAAGTGTGATATTTGTGATTATTTTGATTAGCATAATAAATCATTTTCAGAAGTAATTCTCTCACTTAGCGTTTGACCTTATGCTCCTATGCACACCAATAATCTTTATGAATAAAGAATGCCCTAATGAAATCAAAGGGACATTGTAAAACTGAAGTGAGAATGAAGAAAATCCAAACTTGAATAGTTACAGCAAACAACTATTTTATCGGCTTGACACTGAAAACAAAACATATTGTATGAATGAATACAATGAAAATTCCTAAGACTCAGAGAACAAGAACAGGTAAAAAAACAGTCTAAACAATCACATAGGCGTGCAACCGGGCCAAAAGACATTTTACTTTGCACAATACACCAGTATGCCGGCTGTGACTAAAAGTTGGACTGGGACTTGGACTCGGGGACGTGGGACTCGGGGACAGCGGGACTCGGGGACTTGGGACGTGAGGAAGTCGGGACTCAGCGACACGTGGGGACTCGGAGACGTGATAAACAAAATTTTCGGTGGTCTCGAGAAAGGTATTATACTACCGAAACAGGTAGACTTTTTTTTCTGGAGACGTGCGTAACAGTTGTCGTTTGCAACAACGGACGTAACTGAGGTGTCTACCTTCGATGATCTGATGCGAATCGTAAGGAATAAGTTAGAGTGTCCACAATTTATTCCTGATGAAGAATTAATAAATTGAGTGTTTAAAATTTATTTTACTTTCTTTTCTGGAAGATTGATGCGAACTAACTACAACGGACGCAAGTTACGATTACTTCATGATGGAAGTATCCTCATCGTCCTTGTACTGAATCCGCAATTCTTCTGTAGGAATAAATTGTCAACACTCTCATTTATTCCTTACGATTCGCAACAGATCATCGAGGATAGACACCTCAGTTTCGTCTGTTGTAATTAGTTCGCATCGATTTTCCGGAAAAGAAATATTACAGAATACTTTTAGCTGGATGATGTTGTATTACTAAGCGAAAGCGGATAAACTACAACAGACAACAAAAGCGTGGGCAAAGAAATGAGAAAAGAAATGTTGTCACATGCGTTTGCCTTTTGTGTTAACATCGTTCTTTACTCCCGTGACCAAAAACGGTCACTTTTGTCGCTTCGGTAGTAGAATACCTTTCTCGAGGCCACCGAAAATTATACTTTACAGATTAAACGCAAAAATCAGGTGTTGTTTGTTTATCACGTCCCTGAGTCCCAGCTCGTCACCGAGTCTCAACTTCCTTGCGTCCCACATCCCCGAGTCCCACGTCTTCGAGTTCCATGTGCCCGAGTCCCATGTGCCCGAGTCCCATGTCCCCTAGTCCCATGTCTCGAGTCCCACGTGCCCGAGTCCCACGTGCCCGAGTCCCACGTGCCCGAGTCCCACGTGCCCGAGTCCCACGTGCCCGAGTCCCACGTGCCCGACTCGCACGTTCCTGAGTCCCACGTCCCCGCGTCTGTGTGTCCCGCGTCCCCGTGCCCCGCGTCTCCGTGTCCCGTGTCCCACGTCCTGCGTCCCCGTCCCACTTTTAGTCACAGCCCAGTATGCCTGACAAAGTGACAATAATGTACTGGGTCACTACACAGAGATTTGATAATGATGATGATAATCTAATGTAAAACTATGATGACAAGTAATTCCACATCTTTTCCCGCAAAGTGAGAATGATTGAATTAAACTACAATTTTTTTTACCTGCTTTTGTTTGTATTCTGTCCATAGTTATCAAAACTAGTCCACTCTACAACGGTCAAACTGTTTGCTGATTATGAAATTAAAAGGAGGGCGCAAGAGGAAAAAGATACTGAGCTGAGGTAAAACCACTACAGAAAAAAAAAAGGAGGAAGCAAAGTGACTAATAACTCTTTGAGTTTTAGCAGTCCTGTCGTTTGACTGCCTTCCTGTTGATGTAGTCCAATGCTTTTATTAGAATATCACTAAGCAGCCATAGCGTTGATCCACTTTAATCGCGATTTTAGCGAAATGTTTTGTACATAAGCAAATGTGTTTGACCTTTGCACAGGAAGCGGCAACGTGAGCAGGAGATAGCTGAAGAAGAAGCAACAAAGAAGAAGAAAGAGTGGGAAAAACAGTGGGAGGTAAGTGCACTTGGACAGAAGGGATATTCGAAAGTACACCAAAAGCTTCTGCTTTGAAATGAATTTCCCTTTAGTGAAAATAACTTGAGAGACAAGCACTTTAGTTCTAAGCCGTTTGATATAAGTTTTCCAAGTTAGTTAAGCAACCCATATTAAACAACAACAAACATATGAAACATATGTATGAACTGCGGTTATGAAACGTACATGTGCACGATCCTTCGCAGTAAAGCACTATTTGAGCAATAGTGAAAATCAGACCTGGAAAAAAAAAAAAAAAAAAAATTTTAGGCCTGTACGGGATTCGAACCACTGACCTCTGCGATACTAGTGCAGCGCTCTACCAATTGAGCTAACAAGCCAACTGGGAGCAGGCCATCAAATTAATTCGACATAAACCCGTAGATGATAAATCAAACAACAACAAACATATGAAACATATGTATGAACTGCGGTTATGAAACGTATATGCTCAAATAGTGCTTTACTGCGAAGGATCGTGCACATATACGTTTCATAACCGCAGTTCATACATATGTTTCATATATTTGTTGTTGTTTGATTTATCATCTACGGGTTTATGTCAAATTAATTTGATGGCCTGCTCCCAGTTGGCTTGTTAGCTCAATTGGTAGAGCGCTGCACTAGTATCGCAGAGGTCAGTGGTTCGAATGCCGTACAGGCCTGAAATTTTTTTCAGGTCTGATTTTCACTATTGCTCAAATAGTGCTTTACTGCGAAGGATCGTGCACATATACGCAACCCATATTGTGTTATCATGTCGATTTAGCTTTGTTTTGTTTAGTGGCAGTTGTTTATTGTAACTTTCATTTCCCTTTGAAAGGAAAGTCGCACAAACCGCGTAGATAGCTGGAGAACGTTTCAAGCTGGAGGGAAAAAGAAGAAAGAAAAGAAAGGCCGCACTGCTTTCAAACCACCTGCTCTTAGACCTGAGAAACGCTAAGCTTCAGCTATGGCTTCAGAGAGTGATCCAAGTCCTAAATCGCTAAAAGTTCTCTGTATCTCAGTACTGCTTGACTATTCTTTCAATTGTAAATATTTTTGTTGTTTTTTACTTAATAAGCGGACCGTAATAAATTCTGACCTCATTCTGTTGCATAGCTACATGATACACGGGTTCTATGTATGGTTATTACTCTTTTGTTGTCTTTCCCATTCTGTCCAGCAGGACTCCTCCCTTCCTAACGGGATAACTACGTTAAACCAGTTCTCCAACCAGTTATGTCGGACAAAAGCCCTGCTTATTTGGGAGACCCTAAAAGCCGGAATGGTTGAATGGTGGAATGGCGGAAAATGACCCCAAATCCTAAAACACGGAACGGCGGAAAATAACCCCAAATTCTTAAACACGGAAAAAAAAAACACGGAACGGATGTCGGGGCATGTTGCACGAATTTCGTACAAAGACACTCTAGCGCTTGGCTCACTCATCCCCACGACGATAACACGCGTGGCTAAAATTAAGTGTTATTAATTTTTTTCTTTTACTTAGAGGTATAAATAATAATGAACCATTCTACATGAAAGATAGCTGCGTTTTCGCGTTGTAAACCTGTTAAGTTACCTTTTGTTATGCTAAATGTGCCGTGAGTTTTAGTCGCAGCAGCATGTGAAAACTAACTTGCACAGCATGTGAAAACTAACTTGACATACCGCATTGCAATAAACAATTGTAACGTATGTTTCCTGGTCACATCTGCATTGATTTCTCATGGCGTGAAAAGACAGAAGGAAGCCATCAAGAAGAATTTAAAGAATTTCTTCGCGACCAGGTGTCCAAAACACCACCATCCTACTATGAAATTTACGGCTTACATATCAGCGGAAGAAATAGACTTTCTGGACAAAAAAGAGGCTATTTCACCTGTTCTTTTAGCGGATTTCTTCTGTTCCTCGACAAATTGCAAATCGTCAACTCTATGGCGTTTAAATTGTCGTTCCTGAAAGGGAAGTGTAATTCTTTGTCTTTTCACGCCATTAGAAATTCCCACGCGCGTGACCCCCCTGCAAACCTCTCTTCACCTAGTGTTACTCAAGGTCTAAAACTTATTCATGGACGAAGAAACGCTCGTATTAAAGGGCTCGTAACGAAGGCTTGCTCTCACGCTAGTCTAAGTTTGTTTATTGTAATGTGCTATGTCAAGTTAGATTTCACATGCTATGCAACTTTTTATGCCGCCACTAAAACTCATGGCACATTATAGCATAACAAAAGGTAACTTGACAGGTTTACAATGCGAAATTGCAGCTATCTTTCTTGTATAATGGTTCATTATTATTCATAGCTCTCAGTAAAAGAAGTCACGCGCGTTATCATTGTGGGGATGAATGAGACAAGCGCTAGAGTGTCTGTACAAAATTCGTGCAACATGCCCTGACATCCGTTCCGTGTTTTAGAATTTGGGGTTATTTTCTGCCATTCCATGTTTTAGGATTTGGGGTCATTTTCCCCCATTCCACCGTTCCTGCTTTTAGGGTCGCCCCTGCTTATTTTGCTGAGCAGAGAGATATTGAAGAGCCTTTTTGAACCTTTTACAGGAACAGCTGTTAATATAACAGAGTACCTGAACTCTCTCACCACCATGAGAGACAAAAAAGTAATTTCTAAGCAGAGTATAGACGAGAAGAAAGAAAGTATCAACCGAAAGGATGATCCTTTGGTCTTGCACCAAATTCTCGGAGTTTTAATTGAAGATAAGTGCCAAAGATGTTTATTTAGATTTTAGGGGCAAAAGGGTCAAAGCAATGCTCACGCGTCCTTATTCCACATTACCAGTCTTCTTCTGTATAATCTCTCTGTTCTACCAGATGTTCATCTGCCGGTAACTATTACAAGGCTAAATCAACATGAAAACTCATTCTTAAGGATTGGTCGTAAAATTTGGAATACCATCCCAGGAAACTTAAGGAATCTTCCAAAACATATTTTCAAGAAAAAGATAACAACAATATTCTTTCAAAAATCTTCCAAGTTCAGGATAGTTATGTTGACGTAGAACGAATAATCAATGATGTGTCGAAAGTTAAATCCAGTTAATAGTATTGTATAACTTAGGTATTCTTCTATTTATTGTCATGTGTTTCTGTTTCTGTATTTTTATCTCATACTGTCATTTCTGCTTTTAATTACTGATTTAATATCTGTTTCTTGTATATTTATTTTTGAGCCGAAAGTTATTTAAGATGTTTTAGCGTCCACACACTGCCCGCCGAGACTAGCTCTGCTATTTGTGGGTAGTGCGTCATTATGTTAAGTGTCATGTCATGTCTGGTTACAATAAAGTTGAAAGTTGAAAGTTGAAAGTTGAAAGTTGAAGTAACCTTTAATAGAGACCTGCTTATCTACAAGCAAAGCAATGCCCACGCCTTTTTTCCATATTACCAGCCTTCCTTTGTATACTCTTACTGCGAAAAAGCAAGATAATTGGATACCTCTGTTCTCTGTTCTATCCTTACCCTAATCTTAAGACCTACTCATCTGTAAGTAATGGTAAACAGCTGTTATTATCAACTCTTCGTTTGGAGAAAGAAATCCGAAGAATGACTGTTAGTTGACTGTTAGTTTGTGGACAGGAATTTCTATGTTGACCTTGTCGCTGTCTAAGATGAAATCGAATTGCTTTGTTCCATATGGTGTGGAGTTTTTGTGTGGTTCTACGAAGCCCGTTCAGTTTAATCGTCTTATATGTGCATCATACTGAAAATGAATCGATCTTGGCTTTTGGGCCGTGGTGGGACTGCACCCTCCCTCCACCTACATCAAGGCTTGGTGACTCAGCTATCAGATTGGTAGAACATAATTACGGAAACATTTACCTCTGTAGTTTTTTTTATTTTCAATGTATTTACTGATGTCGAGGGTAAATAATGTCACAGTCTTGGCTTTCGTACAACTTTGAAGTTCTAAATACCAAGTCTAATGTAAGTGAACAAGCTGGGTTTTGTGAGAAAGAATTTGTAAATTTTAAGTCGCTTGTCAATCAAGTACGCACTTCTAATACGAACACGAAAGTGGAAATGTTTTGAGAACGGCAAACTACTGATGAAATTAGTTTGATTTTACAAGGGAAGAACGCCAAAAAAGAGTTATGGACACAGATAACATTGCAACGTTTATTAGGGATCGTGAAGTTAAGGTAAGGATTTTGTTCTGAAGTTGAATAATACACAGCGTTGGGCCGCATTTAACCCTACATATTTTCTTCATTTGTGAATTGTCCTCTCTGTAGTCGTCCATCACGCGAGCTTTTCAGAGGAGATTTCAACTTCATCAACCCTTTGTTGAAAGACTAGGACTCGAAACAGAGCTCGAGGTAATGTAAAGTTTTGCCGAATTAAAAATCTGCGTCAATATTATCACACAAATGCTTCCTTGCTACAATTCAACTTAAAAGTCTTTTAAATGTTTATTTTTAGTACGCCAGATTTTTTGTCGGATTCACTTAACTTTTTCTTGTCCTATACACAACTGAGGCCAAGCAACTGAGTTTTCCAGATTGCATGGTTCGCGGAAGTGTGAAACTTGACCAGCGTTTAGCCTAATTTGTTGCAGAAATCGTAAATCAGCTTTGTCAAGAAAGCGCTTTGAAATCAACAGGAATGTTGAACAACTTAACACTAGTATTTTGTAAACTTTGACGTCTTACAACATAGAACCAGTTGACCTTGAAATTTAGCTGGGGGCCGCGGAATTTAAATTTCTGAGGGTTTTTTTGAAAATATTTTGTGACTTGAATATTGGTTGAAGGATATTGCTTTTTCGTATGTTGTGTATTAAAGAAGGGATCCGAGCTTGTCAGTAGCAATAACGTGTCATCAAATTATGTTTCTGAGGAAATGGGATTAATCATGTTTTCTGGATTTATACATGATTAGAATATTTGGAAACGTGTTTAAAAGATACTATGTGTTTTAAACTAAAGAAGGGTTCCCATATTATACCAAGGCTTAGTAGCCTGTTTTTGTTACTTACTATTTTATCATGTTTTTCAACCAGGGTCATACTGGATGTGTTAATTGTTTAGAGTGGAATGAAAGTGGAAAGTAAGTGACAGAGTGTGACTGAAATTCCTCTACTTCCAACAGCAAACAACACCAAGTGGTTTAAGTTATCGAATAATTACAAAATATTGATTATAATTATTTAAATGTACAGTAAATTGTAAGGATTCACTGTTTTTGTACTTTAATCTGTTTACTTTGTGAAATGTAAAGTTGAAAAGTTTATAGCAGTCTGCTCTCTTTCTGCAGCCTTCTTGTGTCTGGTTCAGATGATCAGAATGCTATATTATGGGATCCTCTGAGACGTCACAAAAAGTGCTGCATTCAAACTGGCCACACAGGAAACATTTTCTCTGTCAAGGTATTTAATTTCAAGAATATGCTTGCCATATAGATCAAAAAAAAAAAAAAAAACAGAAAGAATAATATATTCACATTCCATGTCATTAGGTGTTGAGAAGGAAAATTTGTAGGACTAGTAGTATTTACTAAATACTAATAGGGAGCCTTAGAACCTTTGAGGTTGGAGCAAGGAGTGATAATTAAGGCATGGGGTTGTAATTATGCTGAGGAATAAGCTTGGAATGAGACTGCAGAATTGGTTGGATGAAGTCACTATGCTGACTTGTAATAGAGGTTGTGTCTGCTCTGGTTTGAGAATGTGGTGAGACTGGTTTTATGCTAGGACTGGGACTCTCATAAGGCTGTTAGTGTTCTTTACTCAACAATCCTTTTGTTATGTGCTGCAATTGATAGTGAAGGTGATTGTGAGACTTAATTTAGTGTCGAGGTTGAGACTATCATGGGACATTGGCATATCTTGTTCTGGCTCTGTGGACCAAATACGTAGGTTACAAATGAAACGACTTAAAAATCTGAAAGGAACAATGATTAAGCTCTATTGTGGCCTTCCTCTATTTAACTACTAAAAAATAATTATCCATATTTTGCTTTCTAGTTCTTGCCACAGATTGGAGGTCGGATAATTGCAACAGCTGCTGCTGATACTAAAGTTCAGATTCATACAGTGGAAACACAAGAAACATCACAGGTATATAAATGTCATATCGGACGTGTCAAGAGACTGGCTACAGCTCCAGATACTCCATATATGTTGTGGAGTGCATCTGAAGATGGTACCATAAGGTAATCTATTTTCTCAAATATTGATGAAAGAGTTAACTGTTGAAACTTAAAGGTCATGTAATATTGCAAAAGAAGTCTCTTTATTTCTGTTAACACAAATTTTTATTCTGGATTCCATGTTATGATTTTAGGTTACTTATTAACCATTTTGGAAAAAGTTGAAGTTCGAGCACTGATTAATACAGTTAGTGGGAATTATCAAGTTTTTGATAAGAGTCAATGGTATCCAATATGAAAAACTTTAATCTCTAACTCTTGCAGTCCCAAGAATGATTAATTATTCATGGTATTCCGGTATGAAGTTATTTGGTGCAGAGCATACTGCTAAATTCCTTCCCTGCAAAGCCAAAGGTGAATTTAATTCCAGAGATTTCAAGCACGAATGAAAAAGTTGTGTTCAGCCCATGGGAAGTTAAGAGGCTGGCTTTCAATTGAATTTTTGATCTGCTTTTGTGTCCTGGTGTTTGTTTTTATTGTGTAGAGAGTCTGCAAAGTAAATGGCTCTAAACTATTCAAAGGTTATGGGTTTCACATTTCCTAACTTACTCTTAATCAGGTAAAAGTGAACAGTAGCTCCCATGTTTGGCTGTCGGTAACCTGTTGGCCAACTGTCGGCTGACATGATACCGACACATTACCGACAGTCCGCCGATAGTGTTAACCAGACCGTTACATACCAATATTTGTCTTCACCTACTTCCTAACTTGTATTTTTTCCCTAAAATAGGCTTGTTTGCTCGACAGCAAAAAGGAAGCTTGTCAATCACCCTAGAATGCATTGCAAAACCACTATAGTTTACAATACTTCATGTATGTCTGATTAATCTTTCTTTCCTTGTGACAGGTTGGGATCATCGCCCTTTTTGGCATATTGTGACAGTTAAAATTTTAAAGTATACCTTTTTTGGGCGTTTTATTAGACTTTATTTTATTTTATTTATAAAAGACATCACCATGTTGGTCATTGACTTTTATTTTATTTGGTGGCTATTAGAAGAGCCATTTGTTTAGACTTGAACTAAGTGAACTTAGTTCGGTGGAACAATCTCTCCCTGGTTCACCTCTGGATGAAGTTTACTCCAGATAAACTCATCAAGGTAACCTGGTAGATTGGCTCTCATGGCCCCATTCATTGCCTTCAACTTCCTTTTTGCTTGACTCCAGAGTCCCTCTATGGTGTTGCTGTGTGCTCCAGTATAAGGGCCAATGAAGTTTTCTGAATGGTTGACCATCAGGTGGCTATAACCCACATCGTTTAGGTTGAAGTATGGCGAGAACTTATCAGAAATGATCACGGTGCCAGGTTAAATGAACTCGCGCACTAGTCTGGTTACCAAGGTCTCTCGTTCACCCAGTATCTCGCTCTACTATTCCAAATACCCACTGGCCCTCAGAAATGCGTCCACAGTTGTACTTTTGTTTGTTGCCAAACATTGACTTGACAACTTCCACTGTTTTCCCTTGGCCACCTGGCATGAAGTTACTGCTTAAGATCTTCATGGAGCAGATATTGCAGATTTTGTTTAGTACAGTCACAATGGTTCGAAGTGATAATCCGGTTAGCAGAGAGAGTCTTTTGTTGGATTTGCCAATGGACCACAGGTAGATGACATACAACCATTGTGCGAGTGGAATCTTGGAGTCTTCAAACAAAGATCTGGCCTTGACTGATCTACGCTTTCTGCAGTTGTCTGCTTGACATTCCCAGACCAACCCATCGGGAATGTTTTGCCTTTCTTTCTGCGTGCTACATGCACATTCCGCAATCAGCCAGGAATGTGAAAACGCTTTGAAAACTCTGGATAAGAGCAAGTAACTCAAAATGATTCATGATCGAAATGAGCGGTTTGTTTAATGCTGCTTGTTTTAAAACTTCGGTCAGATGTAAATCATCCAATCAGAATGTTTGTTAGTAAGCTGTTGTAAGAATCCTTATGACTATTAATGTTATTTACACCTTATTGGTCCAAAACATCTCTATTGTTTCCTAAAGAATCTATCAAAACATTACTTTTCTTTTAATTAATGCAATTTTTGATCCTGGCTGTGGGTATAAATTGTAATGCTCTTATTGTTGATAAATCGCTTCTTGCAATTGTGCAAATCCAACATGAGTTCACAATGAGTTCTTAAATGTACTGTATGTGGAGGTGACCACTCTAGACTGCACTGTTTAGTTCTTTGCAACAGCTGCAGTGGGGATAAAAGAAAGTGCAATTGCCAATCTCAGCCTGCTCCGCAAAAGAAACGGACCATTCAGAAATCTCACAACACACCATCACAGAGCAACAAGCCAGAGCCAGACTAGGAGAAGCTGTATTGTAAGCTTGTGCTACGCCATGAACAAGTTGGAAAGGCTTTTCAGGCACTCCAAACACAGCATGAGGAACTGGGAGCAGATATTGAAGAAAAAAATCGAGAATTCGAAGAGTTGAACAACGATGCCCAGGAAGTAGCTGACCTCGTCAAACTAAGGAGAAAGTCATTGAAGAGGTCAAAAACTCCCTGGTTGAGGCAAGAAACCGCGTTCCAGCAGTGGAAGAGGAAATCCGTAGCTTACAGGTAAATAGGGCTGAAGCAGAAGACGAGGAACGTGGGCACCAGACAACCCATTGCATCAGCACTCACAACCTTGACAACATTCATGAACGGTACACCAAAGTATTTGGCATCCTTATTGCAGAGCAGTGTAGTATGGCCAATGCCCTCCAGCGAGCAAGATGCCCTCGCAGCACTATCTGTGATTTTGTCGCAATTGCAGAGTTAAAGATCGTCGATGCTAGGGAGCATGAGCATGTCACCCATAAACACACTGGTTCAGTCAAGCAGTTGGAGTTGGCGTGTTGCAGATGTCTGCAACAGTATTTACCATTGTTGACTACCATGCAGAGGGAGGGCAGATTACTTCCACTGACCTTTGATCCAAGGTTCTATGAGTAGGGATGTAATCCAGCTCAAAAATTAAAAAAACCGCTCCTTTAGGAGCCACCAACTTTAGAAAAGTGAATGAACCAACACAGTAAACTTCTAAACAAATAAAAACTTTATTAACGGGGTTTCATAGATGAAAATTCAAAATAAATAAATAAATAAACAAATTATTAACAGGGTTTCGCAGGCAGGATGTCAAAATCTCATTTAGGGGATTAGGAACTAGGAAATATTTCGATATGGCTGACTAATGAAATTGAACCAATATAGGCATGTTTCGCTGGCTAATGCAAGCAAGGTAGGCGATAGCCAGTTACTATCTCTGCAATTTTTCCCGTTGCAACGTAGTTGTTGAAGCGATAAATAAGAGTTTGTGATCATTTCAGCACACAACTTACCGACACATTGCCAACAGGTTACCAACAGAAAGCCGAAGGTTGGCCGTCTGTCGGCTGACACTTTAGTCTGCAACATAATGAAAACTGTTGGCTGACTGTTGTCCGTCTGTCGGCCAATGGACGACCAACAGTTGGCTGTCTGTCGGCCAACAGGCGGCCGACAGTTGGTCGACAGTCAGCCAACAGTCGGCCAACTGTTGGCCAACAGACGGCTGACAGTGTCTTTTGGGAACTGTTCTACACTTTTACCCTTAATTAATCCTGGTTTGAAAGTAATTGCTGGATAATTTGTTGTTTTCAACAGGCAATTTGATCTGCGGCAGCCACACAACTGTAATACAAGCAGTAAGAACTGCAAGAATGTGCTCATAAATCTCAATATTTATGTTGGTGCCATGGCAGAGGCAAAGTGTTTAGCAATAAATCCTTTACAACCTGAACTTCTTGCTGTTGGCTGCAATGATCCTTTTGTGCGATTATATGACCACAGAATGTTAGCATCTCATAGTTTGTCTGCTGAGATTAAAAGACCCTCAAGTAGTAATAGCAGCTGTGCTAAGGATGTAAAGCTTCCCCCTGGATGTGTTCAGTACTTTGCTCCTGGCCATTTGCCGCCACAGCTCAGCAAAGATTCACAAAGACGATTTCGAGCCTATGTTGCCACCTATGTTAATTTTTCACCAAATGGATGTGAACTTATTGCAAATTTAGGTGGTGAACAAATATATTTGTTTGATATTAAACACCATCGCAAAGTCATGAGGTATCAAGGAGTTAATGGTCTTAGTTCATCACCTACATCGAATGGTGTGGTCAAAAGTGTTTTAGATAATTTTGGTATTCCTTCAGGGAAAAATGGATTCTTAAATTCTGAAAATGGAGCTACAAATGGTTACAAGGTCCCAACTTTAAATGGGAAGAATACTGTTTCAGAAAAAAGATCTTCAAAGCCCATAAGTGGCTGGAGTTCTTCAACTAGCACCTCCCAGCAATTGCCCCCCAAAGCTCTTCAACTTAAGGAGAAAGGGAATGATGCCTTCTGCCAACAACAGTTTTGGACAGCAGTTAACTTGTATAATGAAGCAATAGTCCATGCCTCTGGTTCTGCTCTCCTATATGCAAACAGAGCTGCTGCCTATATTAAGAGGGCTTGGTATGTAATGACCTAACTTAGCTATGTTTCACATGATGTGTGGGAAAGTGACTGTTGTATTACAAACAGACTTCGCACTTATTAGTACATACTTTACATATGATGCACGATCCTTCGCAGTAGATAGCGCTATTTATACAATAGCAAAAATCAGACCTAAAAAAATCAGGCCTGTACGGGATTCGAATCACTGACTTCTGCGATACTAGTGCAACGCTCTACCTCTGGCTTGTTAGCTCAATTGGTAGAGCGCTGCACTAGTATTGCAGAGGTCAGTGGTTCGAATCCCATACAGGCCAGATTTTTTTCAGGTCTGATTTTCGCTATTGCATAAATAGCGCTATCTACTG